AGCCCTGTTTATAACGCTGTGAGCATGGGTCTGCGGAGAGCATTTCTCCGCGTTCCCAACTTAGCAAGCCCGAAAAACGTTTACCCATTTAAACAGTCGTGGTAGATACCTTGTTTGTTTTAAACATCATAAATACACAAACAACAATGAATACTTACAGGTTGTGTACCCGAATCTCCCGCTGGTCCAAACAAAGCAGGAACAGCATCGTTCAGTGCCCTACGCTGTACTTATCCGGCATGAATCGCTGAAAGGTTTGAGAAGCTTTGTTTCGTGAAATGCTGGCAGAGAGTGTGGCCTCTGGGTATTCACACGTCACAGTACCCAGGAGGTAAACAATGGAAAATGAGAAATCCCCAACGAGGCGTTCTGGGGCAGCATAGACAGGTCTTCTCTGTGTCAGAGTTTTACTCGCTACAGGGTGTACTTTGAGGGTTTGTGACTCTGCAGACCGTTTACATGCAGAAAAACCTTCATAACACACAAGGGGACGGGTAATAACCAGAAAAGCATGACATGGGACCTTTAATATCTAACAGCCTTGACTCAATATACCTTGTGTTCTCGGGATGTGCATTATGCAAAATTCTCACTGCTTCTTTCTGTAGTGTAAATAAAGTTTTTAAATGACTCGTCTGTGTTGGCCCACACTTCACCACAGTGATGTAAACATGGCGTTAACGTTGTGCTGTTGCTGGGCAGGTTCTCTGCGGGTGACGTGGTGATGATGTATCCGTGCAACGCTCCAGAAGACGTTCAGCAATTCTGTGAACTGCTGAGGTTAGATCCAAGGGCCACGTTCTCTCTAAGGGCCACAGGCAGCACTGCAGGTGAGCTAACTAGCCTAGCATCAACTTCAAACTCAACATATTTTATTTCTTTAGTCAGCCGTAACTGTGCGTGTATATTTCTTCCAGTTCCAGAGGTGTCTCGGCTGTAAAACTGCTCTTTCGTTAACCACACAGAATCCGAATTCAGTACTTTCATTTAGAAAAATGCTTCTTGTTTGGATATTGGCTTTTATTTTGAAAAAACATTCCTCTTTCTGCGCTTCTTGTTTGGATAAAGTAACTATATTGTGCTTTTACTTTGAAGGGGTGTTGGTTTGGGGGAGTGAGAAGGAGAGAGAGACTTAATGAGATGTCTGATGTCTTGAGAACATTTCTTTAGCTGCTTAATCCTCACAATAATCATTAGCCACCAAACTGTGTGCTTACTATGAGTATGTGTGTCTTCATGTGCACATACACCACACATTGAATCCCCTCAGTGTCTAACAGACTCCTGATGATATGAACGGTCACTCCCTGTCTCCTCAGTCCCGCCCCGCCTCCCTCAGCCCTGCTCTGTGCGCCACCTGGTGGAGAAACACCTGGACGTGGCGGCCGTGCCTCGACGCTCCTTCTTTGAACTGCTTTCTACCTTCGCCACCAACGAGGTGGAGAAGGAGAAGCTGCTGGAGTTCAGCTCGGCTGCCGGCCAGGACGAGCTGCACTCGTACTGCAACCGGCCGAGACGCAGCGCTCTGGAGGTGAAGGAAAACATAACATTAATACAGAAATAACATGATGATACTCTTCCTGTAGCGACGAAATACTCCCAATGACTAAAGTCACGGAGAGGCTCAGTTTGGTTCCACATCTCAATCTCAATCTGCTCCTGGTACCAGACTCCTGGTACTAGGATGGGTTAAATGCAGAGGCCACATGTCACTGTGTGTGCTGTGTGCTCTGCATGTGTGACCTTTAAAGAGGGTTTCATCCCTTCAATTCTATTTATCTATAATAAAACAATAATTAAAGATAAGATGTACTTCAATGATCCCAAATTGGGAAAACAAATGTGTCGCAGCAGCATGAAACAAAAGAAGGCATTGCACATAAGTAGAAATGAAAAGAGTAGAAATAAACAATTCTAAAATAGAAACATCTCAAATAGAAATAGAAATAAAGCAGCATTCCAGAGTAAAACATATACAGATACTGTCTGACAAATAAAACACATGGTGACTGGTTCCCCATAGAGAGGCGAAGTCCCGCCCATCTACTTCCGACCCATGGGACCTTATTTCGGAAAAAGTATGTATTGAAGTCAATGGAGAGAAAGATTATCTTTCCATCACTTTCAATTACACATATGATGTTTGTCAATCTTATAAAATCATTTCCATGTCAAAAAAGTCAGTTTGTCGTAAAACTGTTGAAATATAAGACTATGAAAAATACGCAACTAGAAAGATTACAAATCCCAGAATCCCGGTCCCGCATGCTGGCTCTTACGAACCGACTAACTCCCCTTGTGTGTATGTACAGCTCTCAACGTGCCCAGACTTGGAGTGATTTTCACCTCTTTTAATACTTTCCGCCTCATTCTGAAAGAAAGAAGTGAAATGTGCCAACGTGACGGCCGTCTTGGTGTGTGGTGCGAGACGGGACATGTAGTTCATTGAGCGGTTTCACACAAAAAAAAGTATTACTTCACAGTTTTACCACACATTCTTTCTTTTTTTTTACTTGCAAAATTATCTTTTAAATTGACAAACATCATATATTTGTAATTCGTGGTACAATTCAAACGGGATCGAGAGATAATCTTTCTCTCTCCATTGACTTCAATACATACTTCTTCAGAAATAAGGTCCCATGGAGGAAAGGGAGGGACTTCGCCTCTCTATGAGCGGTCCTTACAGAAGTTTGTGTCCCATCCAATTTAATAAAGACAAACATTTACGACAAGTTCCTACCGTCAACAGCAGGGATCTGAACATAACCTCCCTCAAGCTGCTAATGACAACGGTGTGTGGTGTAAACAAATAATGATAAAAATAGAAATAATCAACAATGCCTAAATTAGAATTTTGGCTCCTACACTTCCTTTTAAAACGTTGACTTTTCATGTTGCATGTATATAGTTCCCTTCTCCTGCATTACTTGTACATTAGTCTTGCAAACATTGCACTATTTTATTGTTTTTAATTTGTTTTTATATTCATGTTGCATTGTTGGTGGAGCCTGGGACTTAAGATTTGAATTGCAAAAGTAAACTGTAGCTACTCCTGTGCATATGACGATAAATCAACTTGAAATCTTTGCAGAAAATATTGAGTCAGAGTTTAGCTTTCAGCACATTCCTCTCAGTCAGATCCTCAGTGGCCGTTTCTCAATCGCGAGGATGCTGGCTTGGTAGTCGCATACTTCCAAGTCACTTCCTTCA